GATAGATAGATAGATAGATAGATAGATAGATAGATAGATAGATAGATGTATATAGATACACACACACACAGAGCGAGATTCATTATCTTGTCAAAGCTGAAGAAGCTTCTTCAATGAGAAGCGAAACGTCTTCAAAAGAAAAACAGGGAAATCCAGTTGCCTCCAGAAAAAGCACCCGTGGGGCTGCTCGCTCTCTCCATACTATTTCTACAGTGCACATTATGCACTCCTTGAGGGTAAGTTCCATAGAAAGCAGCAACTTCACAACCTAATTTTAATATCCGGTGTTGCGAATTAACTTTTTTTTTCTTTTCGGTATTGAACGGTTGCCATTTCAACTGTGAGAATTTCTGAAGTGGGAAAAATAAAAGGAGGGTTTTAGGAAGGGACAAAGGGAAAGTCTCCACGTTGTCTTTTGTCAAAGGCACGCAGTGCCATTGTGTGCATACTGTGCTTGTATATCCCATGAGGGTTGATGAGAGAAAGCAATTATTTTGCCTAAGGCTATTTATTTCATTAAATGGGGATTATGCAGGAAAACTATCAATACTCTGCATATATTGAATATACTTCTTTGGTCCATTGATTGGTTCTTTCATCAATTCCCATCAACCCTAATTATTTGTTACAGTGGTTATGGCTGAGAGGAGCTACTTATTGTTCTCTAAACCATTTGTTGGTGGAGAGATCCATTTTCATAACTGCTGCAAAGAAGGCCAGAAGTTGCTTCTTTAGATATTTTTCTTTGGGTCTCCTTGTTTTTATCTTTCGCTTTTTCTTTTACCCTTTTATAATATCCTTTTCTCTTTTGCCTTCTACATTTCCCTAGTTTTTACCGTCTTTTAATAAAAGGTGTGGTTTTAAAATGAGAAACGTATAGGAGCCGCAGTGGTTAGAGTGCAGTACTGCAGGCTACTTCTGCTGACTGCCGGCTGACTGCAATTTGGCAGATCGAATCTCCCCAGGCTCAAGGTTGACTCAGCCTTCCACCCTTCCGAGGGGGTTAAAATGAGGACCCAGATTGTTGGGGCCAAGAGGCCGACTCTGCAAACTACTTAGAGAGGTCTGTAAAGCACTGTGAAGCGGTATATAAGTCTAAATGCTATTGCTATTCTCAACCTGTAGAGACTAGAGTAGTCATCCTTGGATGAGGTCCTCCTTCTAATCGCAGATCACAGTTAGATTTTGCTGGTATTTCTAGAGGGGGTAAGGAGGACTCAGGTGCATTTGTATCTTAGGCCAAACATTGGCGTACAGCAGTGTTGGGATTCAAAAATTTTTACTACTGGTTCTGTGGGAGTGGCTTGGCGGGTGTGGTGTGCCTTGGCGGGCATGGCAGGAGAAGGGTACTACAAAATATCCATTCCCTCCCCACCCCACTAACCTGCTTTCCAGCTCCGTTCTCCTGTCCCAGGTCACCAAAGGAGACCCAGCCAATCAGCTGGGACTTGGCAGGTGGAGAATAGATGGGGGCGGGGCCAGTCAGAGGTGATGTTGGCTGGTTCTCTGAACTACTCAAAATTTCCGCTACCGGTTCTCCAGAACCGGTCAGAACCAGCTGAACACCCACCTCTTAGTGTACAAATACACTCTGCGTGGAAGTTTCACATTTATTTTCTCCTTCTTGAAACAACATCACAATGTTTTGATGGCCGGTACCTGTATGGCCTTCTTGCTTTTGACAACCTGTGCACTGAAGGAGATTCCAAGGCAGCTGCTTCCGTTTCGGGAGGATCTTTTGAGATATTTAAATGCAGCCCTCCAAGGCATCTCTAGGAAAGTCGCTGAAATTGGTTGCTATTGTTTGGGTGTTTTGACTATCCGAGGAGAGCGCTTTTCCATGTATGGCTTTATCTGTGACTCTGACAAGGAGTAATTTTCTTTGCACTATATGAGTCTGGAGCCTTGAGCCGGGACGGCTTGTCCTGGATCACGGCTAAAAATATTTGGACAGGAAAGGTCATCTTCCTTGATTTGTGTTGCTACGCTCATTCGCCCAAGGTGGTTGCTGTCAGCCAAACTCATGAAGTCGTGAAGATAACAAGATCAGATTGTGACTCTAAACTGCATTGGGTGGGGTTGATTGGAGCTAACTTTGAGTTGCAACTTTGGGTGATTCCCAGCTGCTGTCGCTGGGAAGCATCATTGCCACGATCATCCATGATGAACGTGGTTAATCCTCTTTGTCCATCCTGACGTTGCCCATGAAGAGGAAAACCTGCATTTTATTTCCATCATGTCTGAAAGGCATTGACATGTCCTTGGGGTCACACCCAGGGCTGCCACATAGAGGAGGGGCGGGGGAGGGGGGGTCAAGCTATTTTCTAAAGCACCCAAAGGCCAGACAAGGAATAATGGATGCAAACTGAACCAGGAGAGATTCAACCTGGAAATAAGGAGGAATTTCCTGACTGTGAGAACAATCAAAAGTTGCCTTCAGAAGTTATGGGAGCTTCATCACTGGAGGCTTTCAAGAAGAGACTGGACCGCCATCTATCAGAAACAGTGCCGGGTCTCCTGCTTGGGCAGGGGGGTTGGACTAGATGACCTATAAGGTCCCTTCCTACTCTGATTATCTGTTAGTAACTGAAAGGTTTGCATGTGGCTAGACTTAAGATAACTCTGTAAAAGGGGACCGCCTGAAGCAATATGTTATTTCTTGATTATCTAGCCCTTTCTAATTAACTGCTTCTTTTTAAATTATTATTGTTATTATTATTTCAGGAAGCTGCCTCTTTTGCTCGGGAGCAAGGCTTTGAGGTGAGTAAGCCTACACTACACGCTAAACAGATTCTAAAGGGGTTCTCCCCCCCCCTCCTTTTCCTGGCTGATAATGAAGTTCTTTGGGACCGTGATTGATGTGCTATTATCCTCTCCAAGCTTCGCTGCGGTTGCCATAGAGACTTGGCAGTCGTCATGGTTTCTTTGTTCTGCTAGCTCAGTGTTATGATGCACTCTGCTTAGGTCTGCGCCCAACATCGCCTACAGATGTTATTTATTGAATTTTGAAAAGCCTCTCGGGAAGCTGAGAGGCTGGGCGCAGCTTCAAGCTGCCTCTGCAGATACGGGACCTGCCAGACGGTTCCGCTAAAAAGCCACCTCATTAGCTGAATTACACTCTTCTTTAAAAAAAAAAAAAAAAGGATCCCCCGCGAGAAAGCCCGGGGGGGGCGGACAGCGAGCAAGGACGAAAATTCAGGAGCAGGGTGCCATTTGGAATCACCTGGGCCCCGTGCTGAACACCGATTTTATCCCGATGCAAACGCCTTGGTGGGTGGATATGTTAACAGCTGATTAGCGGGAGTCCCGCAGCCTCTCTGGGGAGTGGGATAGGGATTTTTATTTTTTCTTCCCCATCTGAGTCCACCTCTATACACACACACACACACACACACAGACGAGCTCCCTTCTTTTGTTCAGCCTGTCAACTGCCTCCTTGCGAAAGGGTCTCCGTGATTCTAGAGCACTGGGGTGGGTGCTCCACCCAAACAATTTGATCCGAGGAATTAGCAATCGTAGGGCCGCGGGCATTTCCTCCAAACACAATAAATGTGTAACGTTGGAAGAAAATAGCCTTCTGGGTTCGGTTCCAAGCGGGCGGAAGAAAGACCCTGGAAAACAGGGAATGGCTGCTTGGAAAGATGGTTTAATGGTGGACCAAGACCACATGGCTTGAGGCTCCCAAGTGAAAAAACAGGCATGCTTCCAAGATGTGGGGTGAAGGAAAAGAAGGAAGGGCTGAGATGCTGAGAGTCCCTGGGTTTTATGCCCTCTGTTGGGATTTGAATCGGAGTTTGTATTCTGATTGGTTGTCAAGACTCCCATGGGGCCATGCAGGGGCAACTCTGTAGGCTGTCCTGAGTCCCAGGCTTGGTTGAGCCTTGCTGGGTGATGATGCAATGAAAGAGCTTGGGGCAATTCCTATTATAGCTCTACCTGCAGTAGACCTTTGTTATGTAAAATAGACTGGCCCGGGCCAGAGTAATGGCCCATTAGCAAAGTGTGGGGGGCTGAGTTTCTCCCCCTCTGAGTTCTTTTTAGGGGAAATATTCTGCCTTTTTAATATATCCTAAAATATTTCATTTTCCTAGGAGAGGGGTGGGTTCCAACGGCATCAGCCCAACTTCTTTCAGATCTTTACGGTCTGGTGTAAAAGGCAACAACCCCTTGTTTTGGATTCATTTGCTTTACTCCCTTCTCCAAGGGGTTGTTGGTAAGATCCTAAGACCCGCTGGAAAGCGAGGGCTCCTCTCCTGCATTGATCAGGCCTCAACGCCTGGGAGACCCCTAGGGCCGTCTGTGCCTTTCCTCTGCGTTTGTTGACGTGTAAAGGAGAGGTAGGGAAGGAACATCTGGCCAGGGTCTGTGTCCCGAATTTAGATCGCTTCAAGATAACACAAAAACGTGCCCCTCTCTACCGTTAAGTGTTTAAACTATAAGCTTGGTCTCCTGCCATGGTCTGTTCTGAATTGCGATGGACGCTAAGGCTGCGGGAAAACTTGGTTTTCTGTGATTAGATTTTGTACAACCTAGCTTAGCATTAACATAAATCAAAGAAAAGTGCAGGGGGTGTATATTTTCATTTTTTTCCCTCAAGTTGGGAATGTGGAAGAAGTCCGATTTAAATTCGCACAGAATGACAGAAATCATGCTAACTTGTCCCATAGCAGTTTTTGAAATGTTTTTCAACGTAATTTTTTGTTTTAGATCCTAATTCTGTCTCGTTTGATTCTCTTCCGTTGCTGATCAGCACTGGGTCCATTTGTTTGTGATCTCTCCAGAAGGCCATATCTTCTTTTTCTCCTTCATCAAGATACCTGCAAAGTGGATTAACAGAAATTAAAGATGAAAGTCAATGATTTAATTTCAGTTAAATTAATTTTTTTACCACCATTGGCTGAATTAGAGTACAAACTGAAAGAAAAACTAAGATGGAAGAAGGCTTTTTAAGTGACACTTAATGTGGGTGGGAACAAAAGTTCGATTCAGATGATGTTTTAATGATTGTCCTAAAGTTTTAGAAACTCTGAATTAAATGATACCTATTCTTTATAAGATGGGAGCTGTTTTTCTTAGCCTAAAGGCTTAAATGTTTTATATTTAAGTAGAAGTTCCCAAGTTATATGGGGAATCCATCCTGGAAGTAATTTTTGGAGCAAAGCAATTTCAGCATGAACCACGAAGTTATCATTCCTAATGTTCTTGAAGATTTTATAAAAGATCCTCTAGCTAACTACTTTTCCACAAATGGTGTGAATTTTCTAAGCAAGAATTTTCTTTTAATATGCACACACACAAAAAAAACCCTTCCTCATCATTTTCAAAAATGTAATCACCTGCAAAATGTCATTTGGAAGATACTGAGCAAAAAAATACAGATTTTTAGATTAAAAAGAATAATAAAATTGGAGAATAATAAGATGCTGGGAGAGTATCATTGTGGCTTAAAGGGACTTTTAAAAGTGAGATATCCAGAGAGAAACTTAGGAAAGGTTTTTTTGTTTTTTTTTTTTGAGGGGAGATCAATGTGGCTGTAAATAGCCTTTATATTTGTAGTTGCACCTGAATAATTTAGTAGTTTTCTTTAACATTTTTTAAAAGGAGGCATAACTTGTTGTATTGTATGGAACACTCTAGTAATTCAGCATTTCCGTATAATTTGGGTAATACAGTCATAAGGAAAGGGGGGTGAGAACAACTTGTAAATTGAATTCAGGAATTTGCTATGCGAAAAGACCACTTTCAAATTCTTCAAGTGAGATAAGGAGGGCGGATCGCTTTGTCCTTAATGATGTCTGTCTGAGGACTCCCAAGAAGTGGTGTTGACTGGTATTTACAGATAATGGATGACCCTTCAGCAATTCTGGGTTCCTGGATAGAATCCATCTCCTTGGAGAATTATGTACAAGAACGTTGAGTTAGCTCTCTCCACGAGAACTGCTCTTACAGTAGATCAGTCTGTGGTCACGGAAGACCTTAAGAAGAATTACATTGAATTACATTGGTTTTAGTGATCTATGAACCAGAAAAAGAAGGATAAAGCAAAAGATATAGGCCCTGTCCCTACAGAATCCCCTGTGACTCTGGTTCTTGAAGAACCACTGGGCTTTTTTGAATCCTCTTGTCTCCTGGAAATTGCTGAAGCCATGAAATTCTCTTCTGGGTCCATACTGTTAGATAGTGAAGAAGTTTGGACAGGGATAGTAAGAGTTGCTCCAGAAATGGTGAGGAGGCTGATTCATCATATTTGGAGGTCTCTTCAAATTCTTCCCATAGGAAGAAAGGGAAATATAAGGAGGAAAGAACCTCTTTTGATCTTGTTGGTATAAGTTGGATCTAAGCGGTTCCATTCTCATTGTTTCCTGTTTCCCAGGATTGAGTAATCTTTTGTGAGAACTCTCCCCTCAATGGCTTGCTCATACCCAAGTCCAGGTCTGGATTCCTTCACATTTTGGGAATCTGCTAAAGAGGTGACTTTTAACTTCCCCTCTGCCCCAGCAATTATATCAAGCTATCTGTTTCCCACTGCTGCTACTGTGTTTTCCCCAAAACAAGACCCTGTCTTATAATGTTTTGCCAACAAAAAAGGAACCAGGTCTTATTTTGGGGGGATGTCATCCACTGACTAACCTCACTTGCACGTGTCATCCCCCGCCTCCTTTTCTCTGTCAGAGGCCTTCAGGAGCTTCTTCTTCTGTGACCGGCAAGGCTTTCCTGAAGGCCTCTGCAGCCAATAGCTCTGGATCGATCCAGAGCTTTCTTATCAGCTACAGAGGCCTTTAGGAAAGTCTTGCTGGCTGCAGAAGAAATGGGCCAGAAAGGCAGGTGTCAAGGTATGCAAGGCCTGGCTACAACTGTCTAAAGATAAGTAGTAGGGCAGCTCCACCCCTCTATCCTCACCCTAGCTTAATTTTTACCTGTCCACTCTGGAGTGGGCGGGATCTTAATTCGGACTTATTTTGTGGGTAGGGCTTATATCGGGCACCCATGTAAAAATCAAGCTAGGACTTACTTTCAGGGTAGGTCATATTTTCAGGGAAACAGAGTAGCAAATTAGATGAAAAATAATTGCCCAACAGTCTGTTTCTCCTCATCCCCTCGTTCGGTGATCATCTCGATCGTGGAGAAAACTAATCTGTCCTAATCAAAGTAGCTTGTCCAGCTGCGATTTCATTCTGACATCAGTACTCCACATTCAGGTTCAACTAAAAACAATCCCTCTGCAAATCTGTTGAAAAGTTTATGATCTGGCTTTGATAACTCACTCTGCTGCTTTCAAGATTTTTCTTCTCTTTTTTTTCCCCCACCAAGACAGAGGACATTGAAGAGATCGCCCGAAAGACTCAGGCACTGAAAAAAGCAAATCCGAAAAGACCGCGGGTGGTGGTGATTACTCAAGGGAAGGATGACACCATCATGGCCACAGGTACACGCTTTCTAAAAACATAAATTTAATTCTAATATTTTAAGGATTTTACGACGACCCCCAAAAGAATAGTTTGAAGAATATGGCATTCCGTTTTCTTCTGGTGCTTCCCAAAAGGGCTTATCAAACGAGCATCAAATAAAGCAACAAAACTGTTTTAAGAGAATGTACTGTGAGTAATCCTGGTGAATTTGGTAAAAAAAAAAGAAACACAGCAGTAGGCAGAACCAGTTGTTGATAATAAGAAAACCTTCGTGCACTCATTTGCGAGGGAGTGTGATAATACATAAGAAGGATTGGGCTGCTTTTATAGGGTTTTCATATCTGAGCATCTGTTCGTTTGGATTCCTGTTTAGAAGAAGCATGGTTTAGCTTTACACTTACCCAAGATATTGTTTGGAAATATTACTAGGGTTCTATATATAATGACTATAAAAGTCAGTTTTCCATATGAATAGAAATGTGTTTTATATTTTGATGCTGGCTGGAAAAGGTTCTCTTTATCAAGTTTGTTCCATTAGCGACCACACTCTAGGGATTTTAGACATAATTATTTATCTGGTGTAAGGGCTAAGCATAATTTTACACATTGATACGGTCCCAAAATGTTAAAGATACCTTTTCTAGTTCATCTGATGCCTGCGCATTAATATGCACTGTGGTTGAAAAGATTTAAATTATTTACTTTCATTTAGATTTTCTCTTGAGTTGTTTCTACTTGATTATCTGTATCAAAGCTCACCGAGTAACAGATGCTGTAAGGATTAAATGCATGTAAGTAGTAATGGAGAATACAAAATTTGATATACTGTGAAGTGAATTTCCAGCTGTTTTTTTTTTTTTTTTAAAGCAGGAAATTCCACTTTTGGTTTTTCCCACTTGAGAACTTTTGGTCCTTAGAGAAAAAAAAGTGAAAAAGGAGCTTGTGTAGGAATGAAGTGATCTATGATATGCCATTTTAATCATTAAAGTATGACTTTTCCTGCAGTTAGACACATTGTCTACATTTCTTGATTTAAATAGGGTTTTTGTATGGGGGGGGGAATCTATCGTGCATTTTTTGTCTAAAGCAGCATATTTAATTCAGTTCTCTGCTGCCTCATCCATGGCTTTGAACTTATGCTAAAGTCTCTTTTGGAACAGATTGTCAAGCAGCAGGTCTGCAAATGTTTTTGAAAGAACTCTGCTAATAACAGGAGCCAGCATGGGTTTGAGACAATCAATCTTTCTTTCTTTCTTTCTTTCTTTCTTTCTTTCTTTCTTTCTTTCTTTCTTTCTTTCTTTCTTTCTTTCTTTCTTTCTTTCTTCCTTCCTTCCTTCCTTCCTTCCTTCCTTCCTTCCTTCCTTCCACTAATTCCTTCCTTTCACTAATTAGCAGGCCAAGAAAACGCTGTCACTGTACGGTACCCTGACCTCAGTAAAGCACTCGGCAAGGTTTTTCATGAGGTCAAGGATGAAAAATGTTGGCTAGAGGGTAGAGGTGGTATTTAGCAGGTTTTGACCAGTTCTGGAGAACTGGTAGCGGAAATTTTGAGTAGTTCAGAATACCGCCTCTGACTGGCCCCGCCCTCATCTATTCTCCGTCTCCCTTTGAGTCCCAGCTGATCGGCTGGGTCTCCTTTTGTTGCCCTGCACAGGAGAACGGAGCTGGAAAGCAGGTGAATGGGTTGGGGAGGGAATGGGGATTTTACAGTGTCCTTCCCCTGCCTCGCCCGCCAAGTCACATCACGCCCACAGAACCGGTAGTAAAAAAAATTTGAATCCCACCACTGCTGGAGGGTCCTGTGAATTTGCAACTGGTTAAACTTGTTTAATGCCTATAAATGATTTTGTATCATGCTGAAGGGAAGGATTGTATGCAGGGGTGGGCTGCTACTGGTTCTCCCCAGTTTGGGCAAACCAGCAGCTAATTTTATGGCCGGTTTGGTGAACCGGCAAATTCCACCCCTGGCTGGTCCCGTCCAATGCAACCCTCCCAAGAGTCTCCATATGGCCCGTTTTGGATGCCAAGTAAGGAGGTTTGGAGAGCGCAAAAATTGGCCTCCTGAAGGCCCTCTGGAGGCCAGAAATGGGCCCATTTCTGGCCTCCAGAGGGCCTCCAGAGCCCAGGGAGGACATTTTAGCCTTCCTGGAGGTTCGAGGAAAGCCTCCGAAACCCGAGAAGGGCAAAAAATGGGCCTCCCTGAAATTCAGGAAGGCCAGAAATGGACGGGCCCGGGGAGGATGAAAACACACACACCCCCGCACCGTGGTGCAGGAGGCCAACTAGGCCACGCCCACCATGGCCACACCCACCCAGCAACCAGGCAGGTTGCTAAACTGGTTGCTAAAATTTTTGAAGCCCACTCCTGATTGTATGGTGCCATCTTTAGGCATGAAATGGAAGACGCCATGTAGGAGGACGGATGGAAAGACTGAGAAAAATGATTTTAATAGAAATATGTAAGAACTATCACCCAGGCAAAGGAGTCCAAAACATTTTTTAATTTCCCATAACATGATCCTTTGGAGTAGAAGAAATGGGCGGGGAGATACAGCAAACTTACAGACTTGTAAGTTTCTGTTGTTAGAGCCAGTGTCCTTGGTGCTCTCTGAGCTTGGCGGTTCTCTGGCAGATGTTTCATCACCAAACTAGGTAACCTCATCAGAGCACAGTGAAGGAGCTTGAATCTAAATCTCAGCTGTCTCCAACAACAGAAATGCCTAGTCCTCCTAGTAGATATATTTGATGAGACATTTATTTGATTCTTTGCCCAAGATATTGTGAGTGGAGGATTTCCCAGTAACCACACTTTAACAGATTAACAGAGTTGGAAGGGACCTTGTAGGTCATCTAGTCCAACCCCCCCCCCCACCCAAGCAGACCCTACACCATTTCTGTCAGATAGCAGGAGATTCTACACCATTTCTGACAAATGTCCAGTCTCTTCTTGAAAGCCTCCAGTGATGAAGCTCCTGAAACTTCTGAAGGCAACTTCTGTTCCTTTGGTTAATCTCACTGTCAGAAAATTCCTCGTTATTTCCAGATTGAATGTTTCCTTGTTCAGTTTCCATCCACTATTCCTTGTCTGGCCTTCAGGTGCCTTGGAAAATAGCTTGCCCCCCCCTCTCTGTGGCAGCCCCTCAAATATTGGAAGGCTGCTATCATGTCTCCCCAGCACAAGACATTATGATTCCTTGATGTGCTGAGTAGTAAAATGGGCTATGTTGTGTTCAAACTCACTGGTGTGAGTTGTTTTTAGAGACCAAGAGAAGGTTGGGATATTAGGTGCCATATTTCCTGTTCATAGGTATCATTGCCACATACATAAGTGTATTTTGGCTTAGTGTTCAGGATCTCTCTCAGAATGAGGTAGTGTTTAAGGAATACGCAGCTGTGGAGTTACCTCACGAAATCCTTAATAAATTGGCTGGTTTTTAAGCAGCCCCCTGATTCGGTAGTTCTCTCTGAGGATTCACAAGTGTCCGGATGGAGTTGACACTCAGTCTTTTGAAAGTAATCTCTCAACAGACTCCTCAGCCAAAGAGCTGAGTTAGGAAAAAGTTTGTCTTTCTTTGAAATAGAAAGCCTGAAAAAGAAGACTGGCCAGTTTTGCTCCATTGCCCAGAAAAGAGAACCAGTTTGATGTAGTGATGAAAGTGTTGGTCTAGAACAGGGGTCTCCCAACCCCTGGTCTGTGGACTGGCCCCGGTCCACAGCCGGCCAGCAACCGGTCTGTGCAAACCAGTGAAGTCCCATCCGCAGAATGCGGGCCACACACAAATCCACACTCCCTGAGGTCTGTGGAAAGACATTTCTCTGTGGAACCAGTATCTGGTGCCCAAAAGATTGAGGGCAGGGGTGGGATTCAGCCGAACCGGTAGTTGAACCGACCGTCTGGCCCCGCCTCCCCTCCCCTCCCCAGAGTCTCCACACTGCCCTTTTTGGATACAGGTAAGTGCACAGAGGCTTTGGGAGGGCAAAAAAGGCCCTCCCAGAAGTCTGGAAAAGGGCCTGTTTGCAGCTTCCAGAGGGCCTCCAGAGCTGGGGGAGGCCATTTTCGCCCTCCCAGAGGCCCGAGGGAAGCCTCCGGACTCTGGGGAAGGCGAAAACAGCCCTCCCGGAAGTTTCAGTAGGCCATGCCCACCATAGCCACGCCCACCCAGCAACCAGGCAGAGAACCGGTTTTGGGGATTTTTGAATCCCACCCCTGATTGGGGGCCACTGGTTAAGAAACAGGAGATGGTCAGCACTAGCCCCACCTTCCTCATAAAAGCCAACTGGGTGACTTTGGGCCAATCACCAGGAGACAGTGAGTTGTTACAATCCCACCTTAGGTGTGGAAAAAATAGCTAGGTGATCTGGGCCAGTCATTCTCTCTTAGCCAAATTCACCTCGCGGGGTTGTTGCATTAGGTACATTCACCCCCTTGAGATATAGAAGGGAAGAAAGGTGGGATAAAAATATTTTTTTAAAAAAATTAGCAGGTGAGGCTAAATTGAGAAGTGGAAGAATAGGTGAGGGGTCGTAAAGCCCTCTCCTCACATAATGCCATTTCCTTCCTTCTTCATTTTTTCTGACAAGAATCCTTCGATCTTGGCTATATTGATAGTACAATGGAATCTCCCTCTGGTCACGACCATAATCTGTTCCAGGACTTTGGTCGCAACCCGATTTGGTCATGACTGGAAGCAAGACGGACTGCGCATATGCTCACACAAAAAGAATGGCACGGAAGTGGAAATCGCCGTGGCAGGGAAAAATCGCCGTCGCTTTGTTTGATTGCCACACGAGGATGTGTTCGCAATCAGAGTGAAACACTTAGCGGATTTTTTGGGGGGGTTGGCCCCCGATTTGGTCGTGGTCAGAAGCGTTCGTGAGCTGAGGTTGTACCATAAATATAAAGAACTCTTGCCGTTTAAGAGCTTGAGGTTTGGTTTCATATTTATAGAGAAAGAAAGCGGCTCTTGATGTGGGAGAGACCATAGACATTGAAGTTATTAAGAGAACCACCAGGCTG